TATTTTTCAAATTATCTGTCGATTTCTGGGATAGACTGTGGAAAAATCTACAACTTCCAAAGTCGCTAGCATTCGGTTCGCTCAGGTGGTGAGCGAAAAAAGTGATTTTGACAAAATCATTTTTCATACAAAGTCCACGTTTGGTTTAGCTTTCTAAATTAAGGTCAACAATTAATTTTAACGTACATTTTCATGAAATCTACAAATTTTCAATTACCCATTCAATTTTTTTTTTTTAATCAAAATTTACGAAAAATCTGATTTTTATTTGAAGCAAGGGGCAAGGACTGTGTGATTATCTTAACAAAAAATGTTCAAAACAGTAGGCATAAATTTCAAACATGCATGATATTCCGTGTACGTAATCAAGAATTTTATCTCAACTCGTACTGGCAGTAGAAATTTTCTGGGGTTTGAACCTTATTTTCAACAGATTTGACACCCTCCATTCCACCTGTGTCTGAAAAGTAAAACTTCTTAATCCAAATCTTATCTCAGCAAAGGGATAAACGTTATCCATTCATTGCATTGCACCCTATATATATGCCATAGTGCTCATGCAAACAAGCATTCAAATCAAACTTCATATGGTATAAAAAAAATGGAGAAAACAATGCTGTATTCAATCTTCCTTGTTGCGCTATTCTCTTCAAATTTCTTTACAGGTTCCTCTGAGCCAGTGCTCGACACCGACGGCCATCCGGTGCAACCAGGCGTCAAGTACTACATACTTCCCTCCTTGCCCGGCGCAGGGGGCGGCCTCACTTTAGCTACCAACAAAGGCAAGTGTCCATACGAAATCGTCCAAATTCTAAACGAGCACGACAATGGCCTTCCGGTTACCTTTTCCCCGGCCAATGTGCGCGACAAAACGATCCAACTCAACACCGATTTGAACATAAAGTTCACAGATTTCCAGCACACAACACAATGCCCGGAATCCAAGGTTTGGAAATTCGATGCCAGCAAGCAAAAGCAAGATGCTTTGTTCGTGACAGTTGGTGGAGTTGAAGGGAATCCTGGACGTGAAACTTTGGCCAACTGGTTCAAGATTCAGAAGGAAAATAAATACTATAAGATTGAGTATTGTCCGACTGTTTGTAAAGAGTGCAGGGTTATCTGTGGAGACGTTGGTCCGGTTATCTACGATGGAAGAAAACGTTTGGCTGTGAATCAGTCACCGCTCATCGTAGTCTTCAAGAAGGCATAAAATTTTTATTTCTATAGAAGATAAACTTATATATTGTAATAAATAAGACGAGCTTTCGGGTTTCAGTATATGCATGTATACGTAATCTTCATGAAACTATGGAATAAAGGAGCTTCAGAATTTCCTGGTTTAACTTACTTTGCCCTAGATTATAATTATAAAAGTTGATGAAATGTATGATTAAAAAGTGAATTATGGTTAAAATTAATTGTTGATTTTGACTTAAAATTAAAATCTAAATTTTAATCGCATCGGCTTATTTTTTCACTAATATTAATTCTCAATCACAACTTTATTTTATAGATCTGCAATTTTTGTCAACCACTCATTTCATCGATTCTTATCAAAAGCTACTAAAAATTTTCCTGGAAGAGATTCGAACCTAACAAGGGCTACATGTAGAGCACATTTCACATTTCTTCTGCTTTTGTTTCCATTTTGAGAAATAATGTTTGTACATCATGCCATACAACATTGAGTATATGTGAGGGGGCCCACCATGGATAAAAATTTCGTGGGCCCCCTATATGTGAGAAGGCTATACAAGCATGATGTACATGTAGTCGTTCTCTTCCATTTTTTTTTTGGTAGAAAAGAGAAAGTTAACTTAATTTGTGTTTAAAAACTAATTTTTTCTTGAGCATTAATAAAATAGATCGAAAAGCAAATTTTGAATTTTAAAAAATCATTTTGGTTTCTTAAAAATCTTGTCAAATGAGCCCATAGTATAGTTAACAAAAGTATTAATAAAAATTCTAAATCTCATAAAATTGAAAAAATAAATTTGAGGACCAAACAAGGGATTTTTTGACAATAAAAGTCTTCACTACATATTTCAGGAGTGCCCCTATCTTTTTTATAATTATGATCATAGGTGCCCTTATCAAAACCACTCCTACTGTCACTATATACCCTCGTTCATTTTTCGACACCCCTAAACCCTTGCAAGTTTTACAGTCCATTCAGAAACTCAAAAGCTACAAAACTCTGATGGCGGCGGCCGCGCCAACCACTTTCTCCTCCACCAACACCACCACCTCCGCATCATCGAAACTCCTTAAGCCACCAACCAAAGTTCCTGCTCTCAGCTTGGGCTTCCTTTCATCGTCTACCCCTTCGCTTAATCGGCTCCGCGCTTCCGCTTCCCAAGCCGGAGCCTCACACGCAGGTTCGGCCCTCTCGGCTCGTATGGTCTCTGCTCCGACCATCAAGCCGCCCGCCTCTCTCGATTTCGACACCTCTGTTTTCACCAAGGAGAAAATCAACCTTTCTGGCCATGATGAGGTCTATATATTTCTGCGCTTGTTTACTTATTTGAATCTTTAGATGCACGTGAATATAGTTTTATTTTGTTTGTTAATTCGCTTATTTTTTATCTCAAATAGCCGATAAAGTATGGTGCAACTTGTACAAGGGTTCTGAACTGTTCTGTGAATGTTGTACATTGTTGTGGCCGAACCGTTATTATGCTGCAATTATAGTTCGTCTCCTAAAAGAAAATTATTACCTTTTTTTATCCTCCGTGCACATAATGAATGTGAATTTGTTTGGATTCATGGTGAGTATTAATCTTTTTATTTTATGAATCTCAATGAAGGTAACTTGTTCTTGAGTTGTACACTGCGCCTCAAAAGCTATCTCTTTTTTTGTTAGGTTGGTAAAATCCTGCCATTATTAATTTACCGAAATAACAATACATCATTTTTACTTATTTCTGCTATATGTCCATGAGATGTTCTTGTCCTTTTTACATATGAATATGCTTGAATTAATGAATTAAGTTCATTTTCTGTTGTTATTATTACAAGAAATGATAGAGTATGTTATAACTCAACTTGTGTTGTAATTTGTGCTCAACAAAAAGTTGCATGTTGTTCCTGAAGGATGAAAACAAGCAAGATTGATTTCTTGAGCTGACTACCATTATATCTTTTTATGTAGATTTATTGCCTGCAGTTTATACTTGGGTAATGTGGGATCTAATGGAATTAAGTGATGTTGATGACTGAGAATGCTGTTTATTTTGTGTGCAGTACATTGTGAGAGGAGGGAGAAATTTGTTCAAGCTTTTGCCTGATGCATTCAAGGGTATCAAGCAGATTGGGGTGATTGGTTGGGGCTCACAGGTATAGTTATTTGTTGATTACTTTACAACTTTTTTATTTTTATTACATTTATTCCTTGTCCAGTCTTATCTTTTATCCCTTGTGGATTTATCTTAAGCATTCTTTGGTGAATTCTGTTATGGTTTCGAAATGAATTAGCCATGTATCTGTTTCAACTCTGAAATATATCAATTAGAGTACACATTTCTGTGATGGTTGTTGGTTCCTGTTCTAATGCTCCTTGTGTGATTTGTTTTGTTCTTTAAAAAGTGTTACCTTTATCCCCATACATTTATGTAGGTTACTAGTAAATTATAGAAAGGAATGGAATGTATATTATATCTTGTGTGACTCTGCACCAATCCACCTTTTTGCTGTTTCAAAAAAGCCTTGGGAAATGATATTCTTCAATGGAATATTGGTGGGATTATGTTAATCCTGTCCTAACTGTGGTGTAGCACACTTGGTTTCCTGCCTACAAATCATTGGTGCATTGGAAATGTGGACAAATTACCTTTTTCCAGCTAGTTTTCTTTTTATTGTAAATTTATGTCCATTCACAAGTCAACAAGCTCTCTTCATGGTGTTCTATTGATTTTCTGTCAAGACGAAAATAATTCTTATGCATTTGTGTAGGGACCAGCTCAAGCTCAGAACTTGAGGGATTCTCTTGCTGAAGCAAAATCTGATATTGTGGTCAAGGTAATTCGTTATTTCTTTTTTACTTCTGTTGTATTCTCAAGATATAATACAAAGTCTCATATGTAGCTTGACCCCGTATTCTTCTTCATGTAGATTGGTTTGAGGAAGGGTTCTCGCTCATTTGCTGAGGCTCGTGCTGCTGGGTTTTCTGAAGAAAATGGAACCCTGGGGGACATATGGGAGACTGTCTCTGGCAGTGATTTGGTGCTGCTCTTGATATCCGATGCAGCTCAGGTATCACATTGCCTCGTTTTTTATGCCTGATGGCTTTGGTGCAATTCTCTGTACGTGGCTATCTCTGTATTTAACAATAAATGCTTGAATGGTTTCTTGGGTGAAACAAAAAAAATGATTTTTTACAGGAACTAGCAGATGAGAGTTTCACTGTTTCTTGTTATCTCTCATTTTATCATCTTACCGAATTTTTCCGTTTGAATACTGATTATGATGTTACTAATATTTGTTTCTTCATCTTAATTTTATGGGTTATTCTCATCCTTAATTTTGTCATGCATTACAGGCTGATAATTATGAGAAAGTGTTCTCCCACATGAAACCAAATAGCATACTTGGACTTTCCCATGGATTCCTTTTGGGCCATTTGCAGTCGTTGGGCCTTGACTTTCCCAAAAACATCAGTGTCATAGCTGTATGTCCAAAGGGAATGGGACCCTCTGTTAGAAGGTTATATGTACAAGGGAAAGAAATCAATGGTGCTGGAATTAATTCGAGTTTTGCTGTCCACCAGGTAAGTGTATCTGTGAATGCATGGATTAACGGCGCTGGTTGTGGGTTAGTTACTTGGAAAAACTTTCCATCCCATTTTTTTAATTTTGATTTTCGCATGTATGATGGTGGGCAAGTGTTTTCATGTTCAATTTTACGCATTTAAGGTGCTTGACATATGGGATTCTATGTTCTTTTGCCTTCTTGTTTAGGATATTGATGTCAGAGCTACAGACGTTGCCCTTGGATGGTCTGTTGCCCTTGGTTCTCCTTTTACTTTTGCCACTACTCTGGAGCAGGAGTACAAGAGCGATATTTTTGGGGAGCGAGGTAAGAGTGACTTTTCATTGTCACTAAATTTTTTAAACGTGATAATGAGTTCTGATTTTCATCCTTCTGATCGATAGGCATTTTACTCGGTGCTGTGCATGGCATTGTGGAATCATTGTTCAGAAGGTACACTGAAAATGGAATGAGTGAGGAAGTTGCCTACAAGAACACCGTGGAGTGCATAACTGGGGTTATTTCGAGGACCATATCAACAAAGGTTAGTTTTAGTAGCTTTTAATTTTCCATTCTACATCATGCTACTCTCTTCTTGTTATATCTCTGTTGTTGCATACTGTCTTTGATCATTTCCACTACTATTTCTGCTTGATGTATCTCCTAATTCATTTTTGTATTGTATTTTGTGACAGGGTATGCTGGCTGTGTACGATTCATTGACTGAAGATGGCAAAAAGGAATTTGATGCTGCATATAGCGCTTCATATTATCCCTGCATGGACATCTTATATGAGTGCTATGAAGATGTAGCCAGTTGCAGTGAGATCAGGAGTGTCGTCTTGGCCGGACGTCGTTTTTATGTATGTTGGATTCGATTTCTATCTTCACAATTTAAGCATTGTGATTTCCATTTTCTTATCATTTTTTTCTTCTGTGCAGGAGAAGGAAGGTTTACCAGCTTTCCCAATGGGCAACATTGACCAGACGCGGATGTGGAAAGTTGGTGAGAAAGTTCGAGCAGCACGTCCAGCGGGTGACTTGGGACCTTTGTATCCTTTCACTGCAGGTGTCTATGTGGCATTGATGATGGCCCAGGTGAGGATTCTTTCTGAAACTCAACTTAAATTTCTCTCTTATTTATTTGGTTTTTAAATAGCATATTCTAGTTATATGCAGACTGGAATAGAAAAGTGAGATTACCATGGAAATGCGTTTTGCCTGACAGTAGTAGTCATAGATAGTTTTAATTGGTTGATCCAAAAAGTGGTTATGCATACTTTAAAGTAACTATCCAGGCAGTGTGTGTTCGATATCTGCTTAAACTTGTGTTGTTTGAATTGGTTTCAAGTGAGTATTCAGTTTACTTGAGAAAGATGAATGATATCTTAGCTGAAAAAGAAAAATAGATTGACAAATTGATTTCTTTGTACCTTGTCTGCTGACATTTTCCCTGAATTTACTTTGAGTGCTAATTCAGATTGAGATTCTGAGAAAGAAAGGGCACTCCTACTCGGAGATTATCAACGAGAGTGTAATCGAGTCTGTTGATTCATTGAATCCTTTCATGCATGCTAGAGGCGTTTCATTCATGGTTGACAATTGTTCGACAACAGCAAGACTAGGATCAAGGAAGTGGGCCCCTCGTTTCGATTACATTCTCACACAGCAGGCTTTGGTAGCCGTGGATAAAGGTGCTCCTATTAACCGAGATCTCATTAGCAACTTCTTATCAGATCCTGTGCATGGAGCAATCGAAGTATGTGCCCAATTGAGACCTACTGTGGACATATCAGTGCCCCCAGATGCTGATTTTGTCCGTCCTGAGTTGCGTCAGTCCAGCAACTGATGGTTTTGAAGTTTAATCTCCTAAGAGGCTAGTCTCCATGGGATCGGGGAGAAATTGTTGAAACCAAGCTTGGATTTTGTGGAATGTTTGAGTGAGCCAGATAGCTTTTTTATTAGTAAGAATTGTTCTGTATGGATTGTTACTCTTGCGTTGATCAGACTTTGGTATGTCCTTTGAGTCGGTAATATTGTGAGATATCAGTTTTTATTCTGAAATTTGCACTTATTGTCCCCAACCTTTATTAAAATGTAATGAATCTATCGTTAACCTTTTCTTAAGAATAATATATACCCCAGTCTTTCACTTGTATGGTAGAACCCGTCATTCCCTTTATTTTTATTATTAATTGATGAGTTTGTTAATAAGCCCTACTAAAAGTATTTGAAAAGATATATCACACGAGAAAAAGATTCAAAAAAACTTTAGTCATCAAGAATTTTGGATGTGTGGTTATTGTTCGACTTTGATTGAATCAATCGTAACTTTTGTCATTTCGTAAGAGTTGGTCATGCCCAAATTGACAATTTCTACAAATTCGTTATCGAAAAACTAAGGATCCGTTTTGATTGCAGAGGTGTAAAATGGGTGGAAAGAAAATGTTTAATTGGTATAATTTTTCATTGAAAATGTTAAAAGTTTGGTGTCCGTTTGATTTATTTTTTTTATAAAAATTGTCCATTAAAGTGATAATTTTTTCTACTATTGAGTCTATAATTTGTTCCAATTGTCAAAAAAAAAATTTAGCATACCGAATACCATTTGTTTGGCTTTGTTTTGTATGGAAATTGTCCATTGAAGGAAAAAAAAAAAATTTACCATTGTTGATAGAAATTATTCCAATTGCCAAAAAAAAAAGGTGGAAAACCATTTTCCCACCAAAGTGATGGGAAAACAAATTCCGTGAAAACCAAGAAAAAGGAAGTTGGGAGGAAAACAATTTCCAAGGAAAATTTGTCTATCAAACAAGACAAAAGATGGAAAATGAAAAATACATGAAAAATTATAGATATCAAACGGACCCTAATTGTGCAATTTTATAAATTCGTTGTTGAGAACTTGCATATATTGAATCAGGTACCAAGGATACAGGTTTCCATTCCAGAAAATCCTTTCATTTTGAACTTCTTTCTTTGGCCAAAAAGTCTAATATTATATATATTTCCAATATGGGAAGGCTTATGGCTAAACCACTACCAGAACTGAAATCGAATTAAATCACGTGTCTATATTATGGGTTATTTCTTTCCAATTTCATTCTTGTAAACTTATATTCTCGTGCGCTACTTGACATGTTAACTATTATACATCACATATTCATAAACTCACAGGAGAAAAAGTTCTCTGATTGGTTGGTAACACCAAGTTGCTTTTGGCTTTTAGAGTCAATAATCTTCAATATAAGTGAAGAAAAGAGAGCACACAAATCTTCCAACTAGGCTAAGGCAGTAATTGAAAAAAATAAAACCACCCGCATGCCAAACCAAATTCACATAACACAGAACTCAATTCAGTAAAGGAAGATGGCTATGCAAACTGTTAAGCCATAACTAGCGAGACACACTATAAACCAAGTATTCTGGGGGTGTATCGTATCATCATCTTCTCTCCCACGAATTGATATTTCCAGGCCATAAGCATTCAGTCGATTCACTGCCAGGAAAAGACGAGTCGACATAAATTTAGTTCAAGTCATGAATACAAATTGTTTATAACTATCATATATAAATTCCAGGACTCGTAAGCAGCCTACCTCTGAACCCTCTCCAGTTTTCTTGGCAGCATCGAGCTTTTGAGCTTCTTCTGTCCGAAAAGCAATTTGAACAAGATTAAACAAATGATACTTAAAAAAATAATTTTTTTCGATTATTTAGTATCACATTCATTCACTTGTTCCATCTCAAAGATGAGATATCATCACATAAATAACTGAGGTTTTATCATTTAAAGTAAAAATATATTTCCTTCCCATAAATAAGTCCATCACAAACATAAATATGAAATGTACTTTTTCATGTTAATATTGGAAATGACATAGTAGACTTTTGCTAGCAATATTATAAAGCAGGCAACCCCTCTGAAAACCAATATCAAGGAATCAGAAAGTTCCTTCAAAGTAAATACCATTTGGTTATGCTTATTAATCTGTTTATAAGTTGTGCACTAGGATTCTACCCTCTTACAACTTCCAGTGAAGTTTAAAACCTAGGCAGGGGAATATTACAGCCACTGTAAAAGAACCCAACCAAAAATCTGAACGAAAAGTAATTACAAGGCAGTAAGCATTGAGCCATCTGAACGAAAAGCAATTATAAGGCAGTAAGCATTGAGCCATATTGTTTTGTGAAAACTGTTATTGTACCTGCATCCTCTGGTATGTCAGAGGTCCACAATGTGAGATTGTCCCTAAGAAGCTGCATAATCAAGGTGCTATCTTTGTATGACTCCTCGTTCAAGTTGTCCAGTTCGGATATTGCTTCATCAAAAGCTTGCTTCGCAAGGTGACAAGCTCTGGAATAAGAAGGTAAACACTTGCTGAGTACTAAAATGTGAAATACGTACTGGAAACAACAGAATAACTGTAAGAGACAAACCTCTCAGGTGAATTCATAATCTCATAGTAAAAGACAGAAAAATTCAAAGCCAAACCCAAACGAATGGGATGTGTCGGAGGCAACTCAGCCTCAGCTGTGGTGGTGGCTGTCTGCAAGCAGATTTCAGAAGTAACAGTAAGCATGTGCATGCACACAAATGCCCCCACACATTGAGCGAAAGACACAGTAAATTGATATCACTCAACAATGAAGGAAGTTTCATTAAGATATTCACAAAGTCTAAGCTCCTAAAACTTATGGTTCCACAACAGTTGATATATATGGATTTACCGAATTCATTTCAAACAATGCGAAAGTAACACTACCATAGAAGCAACAAAGTTACTCTACCAAGTTAAGATCTAGGGTTCCCAATTTTCAAGACAGGTAAACCATGTGCTTCTGAAGCACACCAACTCAAGATGTCGATGAATGAGGATGACAAGGAGAATAATAGTTCAGGAAACTCCAAGCAAGTACACCTCTGTGATTTTGAGAGAGTCAAAAATGTGGAATGCATTTATTTTATCATGAAATGAAATTTAATAGCTTATTACTGAAAGATAAGATGAGATGAAGAACTCTAGCCCTTTCACAAATATTAAACCGCTAATTACTTCCTCTATGCCATGAAATAAAACTAATAATATTGTCCTTTAATTTAACTACCAGCTCGGTGAATGTATTTTCATATTCTGGTCAACACTGCAACATATCGCAGCACACAGTGAACTACTTTCTTGGGCAAAGATTCATATGCGCTTCTCAGACCTCTTCGTGTTTCCCTAACCATAATAATGCCTCTCGCAGGATGTCTTCAAAGGGAATGGACAATTTAGAATTCCCGGTAGATAAATAAAACCCCAACACCACAGTCAGGCACCCATCAAGAGCCACAAACATGATGACTCTCCAACAAGAAAGATTTCGGCGAATCCTGCCCGTCCTGTCTTCTATGCATTCTTGAAAGGATTTCAGGCAATAGAAGAGCCAAGTGGAATATATTACCTCATAATAGAACTCAAGCAATATGCTTTATGGATTCGCAAAGGATTGACTGGCCTGAAAATGTTAACTAGATTCATATGTGTGAGCCAGTGTGTAGTTTTCGTAGTACACCAGAATTATACCTCATATGCCTTCAGCGACTGATCAGCAACTTCTTTCCTCTCATTACCAGTCTTGAATTCTGCAAGGTACCTATAATAATCCCCTTTCCTGCAAAAGACAGAAACCAATCAATTTCTAATAAACTGAAAATCACATTCATACATAACTGAGGGTAAGACCATCCTCACATCTTGTAGTAAAACACAGTAGATTCGCCAGTTGTACACGAAGGAATGAGATGCTCATCTATGACAGTCATGATGTCGCTGCAGATGTTGGTGAGCTCTGACTCCACCTTCTGCTGGTACTCCTTGATCCGCTTAGCATTCTGCTCATTCCCTCTGGATTCCTCCTTCTGCTCTATCGAAGATAAGATTCTCCATGAAGCTCTCCTAGCCCCAATCACATTCTTGTACCCCACCGACAGCAAGTTCCTCTCCTCCACTGTCAACTCCACATCCATCTTCGCCACTTTCTTCATAGCTTCCACCATCTCTGTTAATAAAATCATTTCATAATTATAACTCAAAGATCAGATTCTGTATTGATAACACAACTGATAATGAAATTTTACTAAATACAAGAAAACTGGAAAATCAATTGTTTATAAAGTATTTGAATCGCCAATGACACAAACAAATTAAAAATAATTATAATAATGAAAGACTCAATATTCGTTCAGTGGAAGCTAAGAAAAACCGCAGTTCTAACAGAACGAATTAGAAAAATATCTCAATAAAATAGTAATTTTTAATGAACTCCTAAAAGCTCAAGTGAAATACTAACTGAAAAAGCGAAATTGAAAGGCTAATTGCAACTTTTCCCCCTTCTAATTAGTAATTAATAATCGGTCATCTCGATCAAAATATCAGCTAACTCAATTTCAAATTCTCCAAAAAAATTCTTAGTTTTACGAATTATACGAAGCATAATTAAAAGTGAGATCTATATATACTTCACTTTATATATTTACATGCATAATAAAAATTTGTGCGAGGTTGGGGGATTTTACCATCGTAGCGTTCGGCTTGCTCGGCGAGCTTGGCAAGGTAAACGGAGGTTTCGCGATCTGAGGAAGAAGCCATCGCCGATCTAATGAATTGAAGTACTTTCTCTCTCTAGATTCTGCCACTAACAATGGTTACACTCGCCCACGAATTTCACTGCCGGAGAGGAGACGAATTTGAGAGTAATGATTGATTGCGTGACACAATTTTTCTCATTTAATTCTCCTTCCTATTGCTACAATTACTAAAAACGCGTTTGTAGATGAGCGCGACTTTTACTTATTTGGGATGT